TTTGGTGAGTGTGCATCTGCAGGGTTAAAATACCCTGACACTCAATTTTTTTCTTCTACCTTGGGTAGGATAAGATGGGCACAGGGCACAGGGCACAGGGTTAGGTGTGTCCCAAGGAAAGGGACTTCCCGGGGTGGGGTTAGGCTAGGACAACTCCCAGCATGCGGGCTTTGGTAAATGGTCCCTTCTGAGGACTTGCCATGTCAGGGACAGAATGTAGCCAGGCATGTGGTACACAGCTCTAATGCCAGCACCTGCAAATCTGTGACATCTCTAGGCCAGGCAGGGTTGCATGGTGGGCCCTGTCTTAACAAGATGAAATGAAACTGACAACCCAGAATTTTCTGGTATACTCAGAATACTTTGTTTCACGGTCAGAGCCACAGAGTGATTTTTCTGATTCATCTGTGAAGGCTGGAACTTGTGCCGGTGAAGCTTGCACACCTGCGGTGCATTTCTTACAGCTGCACCTTCCAGTAGTCCCAGTCTCAGAGGGGCGGTCCTGAGCCTTTAGTGTCTCTTTCCACTCAGGTCTTCCTATTTCCTGCTGCTTCTGCCAGGAGGTGTCTGTTCCGTTCTAGTAACGTGGCCCTCCATGGCAGTTTGCCTGCGTCCTTGTTTCTCTGATGGCTGGAAGGGTGTGGGCTCTTGAGTTTGCTTGCATTTCTATGCTCTCAGGACACAGGAGGCTACAAAGCAGAAACTGCTTCATTAATAGACACAGTGCTCCTGGGCAATCTGCTTTCTCTCATATGCTCAGTTCCCTGCTCATTATAGCAGATCTGTGGGCAGCTCGGTGTTTCTTTCCCAGGCCTTTCTACTGGGTAGTCTAGATGAAGCCTCCTGTAGGGGTTATGCTGGCTAGCTTTCTGTCACCTTGACACAAGCCGTAGTCTTCTGAGAGGAGAGATGGCCCCCAGATGACAGGGCCGTACACAGATAATTAATGGCCAGGGCAGGAAGGGTCTAGCCTTTTGTTGATGGGATCCCCTCTGGGCTGGTGGTCCTGTGTTCTGTAAGAAAACAGGCTGAGCAAGCCATGAGGAAGAAGCCATGTCTGGTCTCTGCATCAACTCTTTCCTCAATATTCCTGCCCTGTTTGAATTCCTGCCCTGATTTCCTCTGATGACGGCCAATAATGTGGACGTATAAACCAAAGAAACCCTTTCCTCCCCAAGTTGTCTTGGTCATGGTGTTTCTTTACAGCAAGCACAATGACTAAGACAGGGATATGTCTTATTTTAAGGTACCATCTTTTTTTGTGTCCCTGGTTGGCAGGGTACTGATTTAGATCTCTCTGTTTGGTAGGGGCAGAGTTCTGGTATTTTTAGTATGGTCTTCATTAATAGAGAACCCCATGTTTAGAAGGTTTACATGCCATTTCTGTGGTGTGAGACTTGGGAAAACTTACAGAGAAAGGTACAAGGTTTGGTCGATGCCCTTTGACTGTTTTACCATGGGCCATTGATGGACCTTTACAACATTGAGAGATTTGAAGGACATCAACTAAATTTACTGATCTGACACTGCCTGAAGAGTCAGTTAGACGGCTGTTTCCTTCTGCAGAATTCAGCCCTTCTCTGGCCCTTATCCTTTCTTTCATTCTGTGATAGAATTTCTTATGTGCTTTTGTTAAATGAGTATTGTTTATTCCAGGTTTTTGCAATAACAATAATATCTCAAATTATGTTCAAATTATTATGCCCGGAAGCAACAGTTTAGCTGCTGTACTGTAGTGGTATTATAGTTACCATGCGTCTTGCTTATAGTGTGAAAGGAAGACCAAAGCTTATGCAGACGATGGTATGAAAATGAACTCTTGTTCTTGTTTTCTATTCTCTTGGTAGTCTTCGATTCTTTGCACTGATGTAGTTTTGAAAAGTGGAGTTACCTAAGATATAGAATTATATACAGCAGGGCTGGAGAGATGGCTCAGAGGTTAAGAACACTGGCTGCTCTTCCATAGGTCTTGAGTTCAATTCTCAGCAACCACATGGTGACTCACAACCATCTATAATGAGATCTGGTGTCCTTTTCTGGCAGGCAGGCAGTACATTGTATACACAATAAATAAATCTTTGAAAAAAAAAGAATTATATAGAGCAGAAATCATGGCTTCTTGAGTTTGTCCATTTTTAAAGAAGCCTAGGCTAGGGCCGTGGTTGAGTAGTAGGTAGAGGGCTTGTGTAGCACACATGTTAGGGACCTGATTGAGTGGAGGGTGGAGTGTTTGTGTAGTACATACATAGCCCCTGGGTTAAATCTTCAGCACTGAGAAGGAAAGTCTTAAAGAGAGCTTTGTATGTACGACTTTGATCGGTATTTTCATCCCTTCAAAAACACTGAAGTAAGGACAAGGACTGAAATGACAGATCTCTACACACTCAGAAGAGCATTCGACAGTCACTTGATAGTCTAGCTTGCTTTCATGATGAAAGTCTTGGAGACTGTAGGAATAGTAGGGAAATACTGTAAGACAATAAAGGCTGTCTGTGTCCAGCAAATAGCCAACACTATACTAATGAGGAAAACGATTTTCTCTGAGATTTTTCATGAGAAGGGTTTCCACTCTTGCACTCTTCTGGACAGTATTGATGTGTTAACCAGAGCAGTAAGACATAAACACAAGAAGAATAGAAATAGGGAAAGAAGTCAAATTATCTTTATCCATAGATAGCATGATTCTCTACCTAAAGGACACTATAGACTACCAGAAAACTCTTAGATCCAGTAAACATTTTCAGTAAAGTTGCTGGATACAAAATCTACATACAAAAGTTAGTGACCTTCTTATAGATTGATAACAAACACTTCAAGAAAGAAATTTAGGAAAATATTCTTTAAAAGTATCCAGGAGTAAAATTAATAAGGAGTGAAGACTCCCACAGTGAAGACTTAAAGACACTGAAAAAGAAACCAAAGGACACACAGACAAGGCAAGATCTCCCACGCTTCTTGATTGGCAATATCAGTTATGAAGATGGTTGTAGTATCAAAATTAATATGCACCTTTAATAAATAACTATCAAAATTTTAATGACATTCTTTACTGAACTAGGAAACACAATCTCAAAGCTCATATCAAACATATAAAACCAATAATAGCCAGAGAAGTCCTAAGGAGAAAGAACACAGCAGGAGGAATTCTAAAATCTGACCTCGGAATTCTACCACCCACCTATGGTGTCAAGATCACCAAATACGTTCAGAAAAATAAGGGATGTAAACCTGTGGGGCAGAACAGAGGACCCTGAAGTAACCGCAGCGCTCTGACCACGAAATGTTTGATGGAAGTGTCAAACACATATAGGAGATTGAAAACCCAAACTACTTAATAGATGAATGAAATTAAGACCCACGTCTTTCTCACTGTAAAATAAATTCAAAGACCTTAATGTAAAACCTGAAACTTTCAGAGGGAAACAGGGATGGCAGGAACCTAACTCTACTGAACAGGAAATACCCCCCAAATGACAAATGAGACTACACAAAATTAAAAGTGTCAGCAGAATGTGCAGGCATCTTGCAAAAGAGGATAACCTTTGAGACAAGAGCCAGTGTCCAGATTTTATGAAGAACTGCAGAAATTACATATTCCCTCTAAATGACAGGGAATGAGCTAATGAAACAGACAGCTCTCAGAAGAAACACACATAGCCAGTAAATGTTTACAGAAGTGTTTGGTGTTCCGAGCCATCTGGCAGATGAAGTCTGTGTGGAGGGTTCCGTCTACCGTAAGACCTGAACGTATCACTTCTGAGCAAATGCTCGGGACGGTGCATCGTAGTGCAGAGATAATTGTGTTCACTGCTGCTTCAGCCATTAGAGCCAGGACAGGGAACCAGCTTAGATGCCCCTGAGGTGAATGGATAGTAAAAATAGGGTACACAGTGGGGATCTGCAATTTGCAGGAATAATACATGGATCTGTAGGTTTTTTTTTTTTTTTTTTCAAAGCAAATTGACCCAGACATAGAAAGACTGCATGTTTGTCTCATATATGAATTTCAGCTTTTAATGCACAGGCACACAGACAGACTGGGGAGAGGAGTATGGGTAAAGATTGAGAAATTAGGAGACTAAGAGAGAGGGTAATTTTTCTGAGGAAGGAGAGGACAAAGGGGGTCCGTGTGACGTGAAAGCAGAAAGGAGACTTAAAGGGGGAGGCGGGAGGGCGGGCGGGGTCAGGTGGCAGGGTGGGGGAGGGGGATGTGGGGAAGGGAGGCGAGCAGGGAGGAGGATCAACCAAGGCAAATTTTGCTTGAAAATACGGTAATGAAACAGTACTGTGTGTGCTAATTTAAAGAGTAAGTAATAAGGGGCTGAAGGGATGGCTCAGTGATTAAGAGCCCTGGCTGCTCCTCCTGAGGTCCCAAGTTCAATCCCCAGCAGCCACTGTAATGAGATCTGGCGCCCTCTTCTGGCCTGCAGATGTACATGCAGGCAGAAACACAGCATAATAAATAAATCTTAGAAGAAAACATAATAAAAAGCATGGGCAGTCAGAAGGATAAATCTCTATGCAGTCATCGATCAAAGCTAATTGTCCACATGTTGGTCTGTGTTTCAGTCTCTTTGTACATGTTAATAATGTTCACTTAAACACATACTATGCTGTAAAAGTGTACATACATTTCGTGTGTTTACTTTTTAGATATGTGCTTTTTAATATCATACAATGCTGCTATTTGTGTATTTAAGTTTCCCCCCTACGTTCACACACTGATAAGACTGAAGAGAAATGAAAGTGTGAACTTCCATTGCTGAGATGTCTGTGTATGTCAAATGCACTGTGGTGTAGTTGAAACAGTTATGTTAGAAGGCGGATGGTCTATAAAATATGGTTCTAAGTCATCAGTCGCCTCTATTGGTTCACGTTATTTTAAAAGCAACGTGACAATCATTCGTTCACTTTGGGATGGCTCCTTTAAGCTAGCGCACACTAGAAATACCCTGCCCTTGCCCTTGTCCGAGCATTGAGCCAAGTGTCTTTATTTACAGCTGGGCTCCAAATGCAGAGAACTCAAAGACATTCACTTTGGCCAGTGTTACAAGATCTCAGATGAAGGCATGATTGTCATAGCTAAGGGCTGCCTGAAGCTACAGAGGATATACATGCAGGAGAACAAACTGGTAAGTACTTGTTCCCCTTTGAATGCCTTGTGTTTTGTTTACAAATCGCCTGCTGGTTATGAGTGGCAAATTCTACTCACTGAAGAAAGAGCAGAGATCTCCTCCAAACCGTTGGATCGTGTGGTCGTTAAAGAGTGTTGTTCAGGGTTGTAAAAATAGTGCTCTATTGTGTCTTTAAAGAACTCCGACAGTGAACTAACTCAGATAAACTGGAATAGATAAAACTTGTTAGCAAAACCTGTTCAGTTTCTATGGTCCCTCTAGGAATTATAGTAATTCTAGATTAAGAATATTTTAATGCTCGGAAATATATACACTTAAAAACTTTTATTTAGAATGGTGAAAAGATAGGATCTAGTAAATCTGGCCAGATAATATTGATAATTGCATGAGTTTTCTATTTTAAACACATGCATGTGTCTCACAGTGTATCAATACACTGCTCAACTTTCTTTTCTTGAGATGTAATCACGTAAGATTCATTGTTTTTATTATATCCATAAAGCTGTTCATTCATCACCAATATCTAATTATAGAACGTCGTCTTTATCAGATCAATCTGCTTATTAGCTGTCCCCCCCTTCCCCTTCCCTAGCACCTGGTACCTGCTAATTGATTTCCTGTTTTTATGAATTAGCCATTTCATGTTTTGTAGAAATGGAGTCACATAGTGCATGATATTTTGTGTCTTTTTAAAAGTTCATTCATGCTGTATCTTGTATCTGAATTTCATCCCTATTTATGGCTGAATGAAACTCAAAACTATTTAATTTTACCTGATAGGAATATCATATCAGTTACCAGGAAGCATTTCCAGTGTTGAAAATTATGGATTTATAAAAAGACTTGCTTTTAAGTTTGGCATCTCAAAAAGTAAACATTTTTGTTGCCCTTTTCAGTTTTTAAACTTCTAAACTTTTTAAACATTGTGAGATTATAATTACAACAAATCCCTTCCCTTTCCTGCATCCTAGCCCTTCTATATGCCCTTCCCCACTATCCTTCAAATTCATGGCGCCTTTTCTGTAATTGTTACTGCATACAGACATACTCCTACATATAACTTGTTCAGTTTGTATCGTTGTTTGTATGAGTGTTTTTACTGTTGGATACCCGGGCAGTGCGCTCTTCCTGGAGAGACCTCCTCCCCCTCGGTATTGGATACCGGGGCAGTGCGCTCTTCTGGAGAGACCTCCTCCCCCTCGGTATTGGATACCCAGGCAGTGCGCTCTTCTGGAGAGACCTCCTCCCTCGCCCCCAGCTCCGCCCCCCCCCCATTGTCTGTCGTTCTTTTTGTAGGGTTGAAGTTTGTGGGTCTTTCTCCTCTCGTGTATTTGGCTTGTCTTTTGGTGTCATCATTGCTCAGCTGTCTGGGTGGTCACGTTGGTGATATTTATGGGCGTAGCTTCTGACCTTACCAGGAGACATAGTCTCACAGCAGAGCCCCTGGTCCTCTGGCGCTTAACAATCTTTGTGCCTCCTCTTCTGCAATGTCCCCTGAGCATGAGGCGAGGGGCTGTTTTGTAGGCGTGTCTGCTGAGGCTGGGCTTCCCAATTGCCTTTTGATTGCTGTGGTTTTCTGTAGTGGTCTCTGTTTATTGCAAAGAGAAGTTTCTCGGTGAGGGGTGAAGACCACTTATCTGTGGATATAAGGACAAATGTTTGTAGATAGTGGTTAGGGGTTTTGGTGGTCGTCATGACTTCTCTCATACTGAGTAGTTAGTTAGGTTTCCAGTACCAGATGTGGTTGGTCTTCCTCTTACTGACAGGCTTTAAAGCCAGTAAGAGATCTGGGGTGATTGATCACTGCTCTGTGCCTGGGTTATCACACTGTGTGGTTCCTAGGTGTCACCATTAGGTGCAGCTGTTGCTTGCCTCCTTCCTCTGGAAGCGTTCTTGCACCATGAATGCTCGTCCTCAAGGAAGACCTTTTCATTTTTAAGTGTCATAAAAATGCCTGACATGTACAGATCTCAGTTGTAGAAGGGGTTTGACGCATCACCTCTCCTGTTGAGATGACACTATTTAAAAATTATTTAAACATTGAAGCACTATGAACTAAATTAAGTGCTTTTATTACCTCAAAATATGCTTTTGCCCTGAAAATACACAATAAAAAGCACCTCACAGTTCTTTTTCAAGTTAAATAATCATGTGAGGGTGTGTGAGGTTATAGAGAGTTAGGTTCTTGCTTAGATAAACTGATACTTTTCCCTCACTTGTGTGTGACCCAGGAAAAATTATTGAAGGTCATTAAATTTCATTTGCTAACGGTGTTATACTGATATTTGTCTTTCAGGTTACAGTTGAAGATTAAATAGCATAAGAGATACTCTTTTCTTAGTGTAAATTCTGACACATAAGGTACACTAAATACATATTTCATCATAACTGAATTTATTAAGCTTTTGTTTTAATGACACACAGCATAAATTAAAGATTGTCAACCCTATTTTAAACATTTTCTAGTCTTTAGTAGGAATATTTGTTGAGTAGACAAACCAACACTTGTTTTCTTGTAGGTAAGTACAGAGAAATACTTCTGTTATCACCATGGGTTTAGCCAGTTGCCTTTCAAAGGAGGCGCTGTTCATGGTGGGAGGTTATGCTTAATTTTATTGCTGTTTTTGTCCAGGTTGTATTACAATGAAAAGTATGCCATATATTTAATCCAAAGGAAATAAGATTGAGTTTGGTTTTTATTTCTTGGGGGGTTTAAAATGTTGTGATAAACTTTGAAGAGAAGCCAACATCATTCTCATTAAGGTTCTTGGAAGGCAGTTAAGAACACATTGAGATCTCCTGGACGATTGAATCACAGATAACTAACTAACTTCCTGCAGGAGTTAATAATATTTATGTAATAAAGTGAAGTATGTTACTAGTCAACTGTTTATGTTTTGACAAGTATTGGCCTTAGTCAATTATATTAACTACTAATCGAGTACTTAAGAAAGTACACTTGTCAGAAAGCAAGCTGTAGAGTTTGACTTTTGCTTGGATAGGAGTTCAAATGTCCTCTTGGCGGGTTCTCAATCAATGGGATCCACTATTAGAGCTCCTGCTGTACCAGTTGGGCACAGCTTTCATGGTAAGCTTGGCCTGTAGGTGGCAGCATTGTCTCGGTCTACGTTTCACTGACAGCTTTCCCCTGATGCAGCTGTACAGATGACTGCTAAGTTTCTGCTGATGGGAGGCTTCATTCGGAACTTTTGTCTTTCAGGTGGTATTAATAGGGCTGTTATTGCTTTTTATGTCATATGATAGTGATTTCATGAAGACTACTACAGGTTGAAATTGTCTTTGTATGTGACCCAGAAAGAGACTAGAATGTTCTTATATTCAGGGAGGGTGAGGTGTGGGAAGAAGGGAGGGATACAGACTACAAAAGAGCAGTCAATCTGTGCCCACCACACAGATGTTGTCGATATTCTGCTAAATTCTCTGCTGCTTTTTGGAGCATTAAAGCAAGGTGGTTTAAAATCTGTTGTCTTGCATTGCTGTTCTCTCATTTTCTATTTCCAAAAGGAGCCATAATATGACTTTTAAAAGCATTTACGTGTCCACGTGAATAACAGGGTATGTAATTGTCTTCACATGTCATTTATATCTCTTGTCATATGGTTTAGTGTCTGATCTCACAATATATGTACAGCCTATACTTGGCATTTAATTTAATTGTTGAGGTCTAGCCAGAAAGACTATGCAATTCATTTTTATTTTTGATCTCCCATCCAAATACTAACCACCGACCCTGCTTAGCTTCCGAGATCAGGCGCGTTCAGGGTGGTATGGCCGTAGACCCATTTTTATTTTTAACTGCTACTTATCTGTCATATGTATCCTGCTTTCTATTCCTAATTGAAGAACCAATTTGTTCTTGGCATTTTGTTGTCAGAGGCAATATTGCAGTAAAATTTGTGTGTAAGCCTACTGTGCGTATATGGAAGGGTTTCTGTAGGTATAGTCAAAGGGCAGCCACACAAGTTCACTTTCAATTGAGTTTTACTAAATGCTAGGTCTCACGCACTGACATGATTTAGATGAGCTTCCTGCTAACGGCTTGTCATTTCTTTTGAAGGCAGGGAGGATCTTGTCACCTTTTTTTGCCCTTCCCTTTCCAAGTGTAGACATAAAATAGATACTCATTAAATACTGGTTTAATGATTTATGGGTTACTTTTGAATTGAACATGATATTAAAATGGATTTATTTAACTACTTTGGGAGCGTACTTTTAAAGAGAAGATACATTTGAACAAGTGAATAAAGATTTATAGTTTAGAGATGCAGAATCAATAGTTTTTTGATTTAAAAAAATACAAATAAGTAAATTTCTGTGTGCTCCTTTCCAAGCCAAGTTAGTCAGTGAAGTTGTAATTTGTTTAGAATTTGTAATTCTTACCGTGTGTGTGTGTGTGTGTGTGTGTGTGTGTGTTTCTCTGTAGCAGCCCTAGCTGTCCTGGAACTCACCCTGTAAACCAGGCTGGCCTCAAACACATGGAGATCAGCATACTTCTGCCTCTCAAGTGCTGGGATTAAAGGCATTGCCTGGCCAGATATACAATTCTTGTCAGGATTATGTTAGCTTGTATATTGTGTTAATAAATTGGCTTTATTTTGTTGAAATAGTATTTGAAAGATGAATATAATTAAAAATAGAATTACTTAGCAGGATAATATCTTTCTATACTGTATTCTAGGTCTTATCATTCTCTTTTCAATTACTTTACTTAAATATTTCTGTGATGCACCAGATCACATAAATGCACTTAGTCTGTCATTTTAAGTGCATAGAAAACCAAGAATGAATGTGTGTTAAGTTCCCACCTACCTTATGTGCCAGTTGCATGGAGTACAGGCAATGACTTGGATAATATGCAAATAACTTTTCTTGGTTCTGCATTAATTTTTTGCCCTGCAGATTTACTTGCCTAATGATATTTGTTTAGTTATATTAAAACTAGTTGATAAACTCGAGGAAGGCAACTGATGATGCCT